TTTGTTGGTTTGACTGTCACTTCTGATAGATGGTGTACATTGAAGTCACAAGTACAAGTCAGCCTGCTGCAATTTCAGCAAGATGGAAGATAGAGTAAAATCCAGGGTCATTTATTCATTGCTAATACCTATTCAAGTTCAATGAAGAAATAGTTATTGCAGTTAATGTTGTCTTCTTTTACAGCATTAGAGTTTACAAAAACATCTGTCCCTATCTAGGTACACTATAGCCTGTAAGGATCAACCAAGAAGTCAGGAGTTCAGATTTGTTAATTTCTAAGCATATGTGAGGATTTTGCTGTAGAACTTGAGAGATAATGTCTAAAAATTATCTTTTGCAAGTCGTTATTGGTAAAAGAAGTTGTGCTGGTCTTGGCTGGGGCAGTTAACTTTCTTCACAGTGGCTGGTGTGAGGCTGTGCTTTGGATTTGTGCTAAACACAGAACTGATAATATAGAGATGTTTTTGTTTGTGCTGAGCAGGGCTTGCACAGAGCCAAGGCCTTTTCTGCTTTTACTGCCATGCTGGTGAGGAAATTGGGGGTGCATAAGAGGTTGTGAGGAGACACAGCCAGGACAGGTGACCCAAACTGACCAAAGGGATATTCTACACGATATGATATCATGCTCAGTTTATAAAGAGGGGGGGAAGAATGAGGAAGCAGTGGAGCATTTGGAGTGATGACATTTGTCTTCACAAGTAACTGTTAGGTGTAATGGAGGCCTGCTGTCCTGGAGATGTCTGAACCCCTGCCTGCCCATGGGAAGTACTGAATTAATTCCTTGTTTTGCTTTGCTTTCTCTATTAAATTGCCTTTATCTCAACTCATGGATTTTCCAGCTTTTACCTTTGAGATTCTCTCCCCATCCCTGTTGGTGGGGCAGTGAGTGAGCAGCTGCCTGGGGCCCGGCTGCTGGCTGGGGTGAAACCACGACAGAAGTGCTAACACTTCATTTACTGTTTCTTAACTCTTACTCTAACCTTGGAAAGCACATTTCTCTATCTCTCATTATGTCCATTTATTTTGCTGTCACAGTTCAGCCTTCTGAAGGTCTCTAACACCCAAAGGTGCAGCTAAATATCTAGTGGGATATTCAAAACCAACTGTTCATCAAGCTCTTTATCACACCACTCTGAACCACCATGGGGAGTGAGACTTCCCTGTGAGCAACTTCCCAAGGTGCTTAAATATCCTTTGACACTTGCCCCTAGAGCCACAATTCTGCAAAACGTGCCTGATGTATGCTCAGCTTTAGGCATGTAGGAAATCCCTCCTGCTCAGCCAAAAAAAAAAAGGAATAATACCCCAAAGCTAACTTGCCATGATCAGTTAGAATATATTTTATTTGGATCTCTTCTGTTCAGGGAGTATGCAAAATTTCATTCCCATGTCTACACAGATCCTGATTTCCCAGGGTTAAAACGTAAATCAAATTTTTCCTTTAGTGAGTACAAGCTGCAAAGAGCAGACAACCTTCATTTAAACAGAAATCTATAAATCCTTTAGTCCTCACCTCACTTAACCACATTGCTTGAGGTGAAAGCTGTTAACTGTGGTCTTTAGAAGCTATGTGTAAATGCAACCTTTTCTCCAAAAAACTTTGAAAATGTGCATAATCAATATATTTGATAAATGCTAGTGATAAAGGCAAGAACTGCTTGCAATAATGAAATGCATGGGCTTGATCCTTTATTCACCTGAGTCACCCCCTTACCTCCACTGCTTTAAGGAATTCACTCCAAGAGCAGGATCAGGCCCTTAATGGGCTGCCAGCTCCATACTGACATTATACCCAGACAACTGTCACTGAAATTTATATTTAGTTCCCTAAGAACAGTACATTAGATATCTTTAAGTGTTTTATGAGGCAGGACTATTCTGACTATTCTGACAAAACCACCAGTACATGTAGAAACCGGAGCTGTGAACAAATACTGCAGTTATGATTTACAGCACAATTGCCAGAGTCTTTCCAGCTTCATCTCTGATGGCTACTTACTCAGGCTGTCATTTTTAGCTCCACAGATTATATCTGCCTTGGCCTCCTCCACAAACACTGGATTCACTGGAGTGTGTTGCAGACAATACAGCTCTCAAACAATGAAGCATTTGTGTTCATTTTCTTCTATTTTATCTTAGGAATTCTACTATTTAGGTCACTATCTGTTGCTTCCAGCTATTCTTTCCTGAAAAATTGTAGCTCTTTTTAGGCTTAAGAAGATAAAATCAATGAATTCATCTATGTTATTCCTCTGGGTATAAAGGTCTAGATGTAATAAGTGGTACACATAGTATAAGATTACATTGCTATTCCTGAACTGCAGCCCCAAGATTAATTGTGCCTTATAGGCCAAAATTTGAAGAGCTGCTGGGTGCTGGCCTCTCTGAAAATCTGATACAACTAACACAATAAAACCCCAGTATTACTAAATTTCTCAAATGCTTTAAATATGATCCCTCCCTAGCATGAAGAGGAAGAGTGTGAGTGTATGTCTGTGTAGAATTTTAGATACAGATATGGAGAATAATGGTGAATGGATCCTCTATCCGATTCTATCTGCCTTTCCTAAAAGAAACAAAAAAATCCACTACAGGTTTTACTTGAGAAAGATGGTACTTGGATTTTAGCAAGCAACATCAGTCATTGTGAAACCTGTCAATATCTGTGGAATAAAAATTATGCCTAGATGTGGGAACCTACAGGAATTCCATTTACATTACATTTAAGCTCACTGATTGCTCTACTGACATAAAAAATTGGTATGCTCTGAATGAAAAGAAGATGAGTGCTTAAGCAAACAGTCATAAATTAATTTATAATGAAACCTGACAGTCATAATTAAATTTAGAATGTATTTAAGATTGTTGTTACTATTTGTACAGGACTTTTTTGCCTGGAGGAAGATGTGACTCCATAGTGAAACATCAGCTATTGAAATACTAAACTTCTTAAGTGTACATATGTATTAATTAATTATTAATTAATAATTAATTAATTATGTAGATAATTTCCTCACAAAGATCTGTTGTCTACTACAAGCAGTCAAAAGACTCCACAATTGAGGCATACCAGTGGGCCACCAAGAACTCACCAGGAAGCACAAAGGATTCTGAGCACAACCTGTAAAATCTTGGGGGTGATGAGGCTGCATTTCCTTCTCAATGGTGAGGAGAGGAAGCAAGTCAAGTGACAAAAAGAAGTAATTCTATTCAGTTTGTTAACTGAGAGATGGTATAGTAGGGCATTTGGGGATAGCCAGGCTGTGAACAAAAAAACCTTGGCAGTTTGTCTCACCATCAAGTAAGAAAACCACGTTCCTAAGATATAGTGAATTCTATTTGGAAAGTAATGTTTAATAAAAACAAAATTACAGGCTTTTGAAGTCTAATAAATGCTAAAAATAGGTACTTATGAAAAGCAAAATAAATAACGAAGTCTCTCTGTCATGATTAGTTTAAAAGCAGCGGGCAATGGATTGCATTTGCCTCACTCTCAAAATTGGTACGTGTCACACTGATTCTTTAAATAGGGTTTAAATGAGCAGCACATAGGAAGTACTTAAGTAAGAAGTGACAGTAATTGGTTATCACACTGGGAAGTTTGCAAGGGGTTCTTTCCACACCCCTTGTGAAAAGAGCATTCCCCTTGTGATACACTGAACTCTCATTTTGCAGCACCGATGCTCATGACCAAGGGTGAGCCAGTATATTCTGGCCAGTATCTTCAAGGACAGAGCAGTGGTGGCATTCTAGGTGGGCAGCTCCAGGGTCTTTCTATCGTGGGTGCTGAGAAATCAGCAGTTAGATGGTTTTAAACTTTCTGATCGTGCTCAAGGGCACACAGTGACAGCATTCCGGGTGTACCATTTCCATGCCAAGCTTGGGGAGCTATAATGTGGTTAGCCTGTATTATTTATCTGCTATTTATCCCAATTTCAAACCTGATGAAAAGCTAGTCCTTTCACATCACAGAATGAAACCTTCCTAAAAAAAACCCACTCAAGATCTACAATAGCTCCTTTCTTTCATCTTCTCAAATCATAATTAAAAAAAAATATCCCTGAAAACAACAATTACCCTGTGGTTTCTTTATAGAATTGTACCTAGGGGAATATATGGGGGAGGGAAGGATTGCTAAGCTGAACACTGTTCTAGCAACAGCCTCTCTTTTATCTTTCTCAATAATATTTAACATTCTTGTGCATCGGTACCTTAAAAGCCAGTTTTATAACTCTCATATTTCATACTGATAGTACTAGTCTTTTCTCATTGCCTTTTTCTTGGCATCTGGTAGGTTACCTGATTGTGGTGTTCTAGGAGAATCTAGACCAAGACAAGCATACCTCAGATACACAGAGCAAATTACATTCTCTGGATAAATCAAATTTCTCCAAGAGCTGCTGTTTGGGATTTACACTTATTTGTCATATGGACATGCAAATCTTCTGTCTTTTAAACTGAAAACTGCCAGCAGAGGCTTGACAATACAACAAAATCTTGCTGTTTCATGGTATGTTAGCTGTTGAGGATATTATGATGGTGAACTTCTTTGAAAAGCTGGAAATATTTTTCTGGGTTAATTTTCAGTCAGATGAGTAAACTAATCCAACTCTATCATATACTGCACAACAGTTGCAGGGCAGAGAGCTGCAGCCACAGACTGTAAGGCTTCCTGGGTACCTGCATGGTCTTTGGTAGCCTTGGGGCTCCGAGTCCTTAATCAACTGACACTGACCCCACAGTGGTTAACACAAGCAAAAAGACCCCAAATTAAGTATTTCAGGACTGCACTGCAGCTGGTTGTGTGCTGAAACAGTTTGTCCATCAAGGATTGTTAAATGGATCAAAGGAAGCACCTTGTCACTAAGTATGGGTAGAAAATCGAGCTATCAAGTAATTAGGGAAATTACCAAGTGAGGACTTCAGGTAAAGTTCATCTGGAATCCCCCTGTCCCTCCCTTTTACCAGTTTCTCTAATATAGTATTTTCAAAAACAGACTAGACAAATGTGAAAAAAAATTTAATGATGACTTACAAATATACAATACTTACATTTTTAAGAGTTACAAAAACAGCATACTATAGAAAGCAAAAGCTTCCTCCAACATTTGAAGGAACATTTCCAAGTTATTTATTTACAAAGAAAAATTACAGTCACTTTTCATAGTGTCACATGTTTACATAGAAGCACTTCTCAGTTGAAAAATCTTGCAGCTTACCCAAAGGCAGTTTTTACAGTCTGAGCTCTACACCCATCTATCAGATCAAAGATTCTATCAGCCCATTAAGTTGATGTGACACAGCATTTTTACAATTCAACAGCCTTTGGTTTGAAACTAAGTACAACCCATATGGCTAAACTGATGCAAAGTTGCTGAGATTTCACCTGGTGTATTACATATTGCACATGGTTTGCTAAAATGGCATAGGCTACCTTTTTTAATTAGCTTGGTGATGTCTGTTTAGAAAAAGGTGATCCAATTTCCTTAGGGTATTTCCAGTTCTTTTTCCTGAAATGAATTTAAAAGAATATAACATGGTCTTTGCAGGACACTTTTTTGCATAATGGAACTTTTATATTAAATTCTTCCTTCTCTATGTACAATTCTTACCTTAGGTAAAACAAACTGAGCACACTTTCCAAAGTTTGTTCATTTCCATTAGTTTTCCAATGTTGGATGTTTCCTAAATTGTACTTTATTTAACCCAAAATTTTAAAAATTTCCTCGAGCAAACATTAGAGCAAACATTAGTATTTCTCAATCTGTGTGTGCTTGAGAGTCTTATAGATTAGAATACTTGCAGTAATACATCCAGTCTGTTTTTGACACCTTCATTATGTGTGTATACCAATACTCCCATGATTTTCAGGCCTTATCATTTCAATGTGTGAACTCAGAATTTCATTTGGCTGAATGTAGTTTAGGACTACACATTTATAACTGATTGTTTTTAATTAAAACTAAGCACCTCCAGAGTATTAGTTATGGTTCAGGTTGAGGTCTTTTCATGTTGGAAAACAGAAAAAGCTTGCCATCAATAGCTGTGAACAGAGTTTGGAAAGGGTCTCCTGGCATTACAGTATTTCCCTACCAAAAGCTTACTCCACAGACAAAACAAACTTCAAGCATCTTTACAGAATGCCTGTGTTCTGGATTTTCTTCGTGCAAGAGCTTCCTGTTTTTTCCTTTCAATCTCTTCTTGAGAACATTTTCTATTTTTCTGCTCTACCGTAGATGCTGCAAATAAAAAAAAAAAAAACAACCATGTATTAGGAATGTCAGGTTTGTTCAATATGTATTTTAACTCAGCCATTTTCAGTGTCTGAAGATCTATGGCAGGAGCACACTATTTTGACATACCGAGCACCCAAGTTAAAAATGGCTCATCTATCCTGTCCCCAAGGCAGGAAGGGGACAAGATGCATGACCTTTGTAGTGCTACTGATTACTGCCTCCCAATGAGTGCACTGGGATGCACACATTTGCTTCAAGGAAATTTTACTTGGGTGCCCTTCAAGTGAACCTTATGACATCAGGAGTCAACATAGGAGATGGTGATGGGTTAAGAAAATTAAGGCTATCAGAGTGAAAAGGGCTCTACAATTTACTGAGTTAGGCAGAGATATGGACATGGGGATGGTATAGGCACAGGGGTCAGATACAGTACAGGTGTCACACAAATAAAACAAGATAGGTTGAAAAAAGGTCAAAAGTAGCAATAAAAATTGGCAAAGGAGACAAGAAGATGATAGCTAAGCATAGCCTTTTATATGGTGTGTTACAGAACTATAAATTCCCAAACTATAAAATCCTGACCTCACTGGAACCAACAGGAACACTCCTTGCACATACCGATAATTTTACCATTTCTACACACCAATTTCCAATTAATGTATTTTTAATAAGTATTCAAACGGAATAAATAGAACAAAGGCTATATTTGCTTCTCACAAGAAAATGTCCATGGAAAAATTAAATAGAAATTTTTGAAAGGACCAGTTAATATCCATTTTTTGGTTAATGTCCTTTCCCTCAAAATTTAAGATGAAGAAAGTTATGGTTTATATGTAAAGAAAACCTATGCTATTTTCTTTCATTCTTTTACTCTATGAACATTTAATAGAATAACTAGTTGTTATCTCACCCCTTCCTTCCCCATTTTAATCCAAAATTGCTACTTTCCATTTATATGCCTCTCTGCTGGGGAAGAAACAGATAAAGTACCCACCCTTCAACAATTAATTGTTTTGTTGCTTTTGCAACAGCGCTTCTTGAAAATGGGAGGTTAATATAGGACACTCTTAAAGTCATGTTTTATCAGAATGAATATTGATTAAAACTTTGCCAAGCTGTGAGATCAAGTGAAAATAAGACTGACTGGCACTTGACTGGTTCATTTCCCCAGCAAGTAACACTGAGCATAGAATATCACTGACTCTTGGTTGCCTGGCAGTAAGAAGTGCCTGACCCCTCCTGCGGATGAAAAGGCATCTTAGTGTTTAGACTGATAGATAACACAAGAGTATTTCACTGGCAGTTCCAGCCACAGAGCAAACAACAATACAGGCTGAGCTCTGAGAAGTGTCAAGTGATTTGAGGTTCCAAATTCCAGGTGTGCAGTAATACAAAGAAACTGGCACTCCACATCATCTGCTGTCTTCTTCCCCTGTCCCATCATTAAGTAAGGTTTTACTATGCATCAAAGTAACAGTATTTTTAAGTAATAAGTTAAGAAAACAGCATGCTGACTGCTGCATCAGCCTACACTTGATCCTAGGGAACCTGAGTGTCTATGGAGAGAGGCTGTGAGATATTTAGAGAAGTGGAATGCAAACAGGTGTCCTGAACTACAGGAATTCAAAATAAGCATCAGTACAATTTTACTTTTGAGAAAATAACTTCCAGATTTTCCTTAGAACATCTAACACCTTAACTGAATGGATGAATATTGAAGCCTATTTTAAGTTGCAGTACAGAACAAATTTCTCTGACATTCTGACTACAGTAAGGAAACACACAATAACAGTCTAACAGTGATACAATAAAGGCAAATACCTGAAGAAGACTGTGCAAAAGACTCTGAAAGGTGCCTCTTGAAAGGTGATTTCTTATTGTCAAGCTTGCTGTGCAAAGTCACATTCACCTCATTCTTGCTTCCTTCCAAACCCTGCAGAGTAATTCCAATGCCAGAATGATTCCCTGGATTTTCAGACCCTATATGAAGACCACCCTGAGAACTGTTAATCTTTCGGAACTTAAACTTTGAAGGCACAAGTGAAGTTTTGTTACCAGAGCTGCTACTTGGAATCTTTCCCACATTAGACAAGACATGTGAGCTGTTGAGTTCTTTTCTACTAAAAATATTTACTGCATTAACAGGACTTACTTCAGAACCTGTCTCTCCTGCTGGCACAGAATTTGACCTGTACCATTTCCCTGAAACAGTCTTGGCAGCATCTTCAAAAGCATCTTGATGACAGTTTTTAAGCAGTGCATATTTACACTCCACAGAAGGACCCAAGATCGCAGCCTGAGGATTTGAGACGTTCTTAGAGTTCACTACATGACCTGCTGTGGCCAGCCCATGCACTATCTTTGATGAATTCCTACTGGAATCCTTCAGTGAGAGATCCTCCTGTTTTGCATTTGTGTTTTCTGCCAAGAAGAGATCAGGCAGTCTTTGTTTAGATGCTGGGAAGCTGTTACCAGCATTTGATATGGAATTAATACTGGCTCCTTGAATAGTTTTAGTTTTTTCATTTCCTTGTTTAACATCCTGGCTCTGAGTTTGCTTTTCTATATCATCACACACCTGATATAACAATTCATCATCCTCATAGTTTGCATCCCAAAGACTAATTGATCCACAAATACCTAATATCTCATCAGAGGATTTTGGTTCATTCCAGTCCTCAAATGACAGAGGGTATTTCTTTGGTATTTCATCTTGATTTGAGTGACCTGTATCAGCTTGGTTAACCACTTTGGTTAGATCATTAGGTTTCATGTTGGTAGAAACACTGGATGACTGACAGGAAATAGTAGGAGTGTTATTTCCAGGTTTTTCTGCTGTCTGTCTATGAGGATTAGATCTTGAAGGAAAAAGAGGAAGAGCATCGCTTTTAGGCTCAGTAGATTCATTTCCATTCTTGATTTCAGATTGCACTGAAACAGGAATATGGTTCAAATCACTGTTTTGGGTACTCTTCCAAACAGATTTGATTTTATCTGGCTTAACATCACACTTGCCATGCAAGACCCTGGTCTCTGCCCTTGAGTTTTCTGTCTTGCACAGTTTTTGTAAAGACAATGATTTTACAACATTTTGTGAGCTTTTACTAGCATGTTTCAAAGGTGAATATTGCAAACTGTTAGATTTGTTTACAGTCCCCAAAAGAGTTACTGAGTTGCCACTACTTCTTTGCCTTGTTCCACTAGCATCACTGAAATTGTGCACAAGTGGATTTGCAGGAATTTGTGGTGGTTCTTCAGTACTTATCAATTCAGGATTTTGGGTTATCTGCATCACAAAAGAGTCATCTGCCAAAAGATCTGTATCCCAGTCATCAAAGTCATCATTAACTACTCCAGCAAGCTTAGTAGAGGCCATCAATTGTGTCTTCAAATTAGGAGGATTTTTTTTTGTCAGGGTGTCAGTAGCAGGTTTTGGTAAAATCTGGTCAACATTTCCTATGGCAATCGGAGTATCCTTTTGATATGCCTCTGAATTACCATGCTGTGTCTCTTCAACTTTCTCAGGAAGGTTCTCCTCTTCCAAGGTACTTTTAATTTTATGAAAACTATTATTTAGAGAAATATCTGACAGCTCTTGGCTCAACTGTCCACTGCATTTCTGGGTAGAGGAGTCAAAAAGAGCGTGAAGGGCTACTTCAGCCTCCAGGTCTACAGACTTTTGACTGTTGGATTGACAGGGCTCTGCCACAGGGATGCCAGTGCTCTGTCCAACTGCTTTCAGGGACACAGCAGTATCTGCTTCAGAACCTTCACCAAGAATTGATTTCTGGTTTTTCATATTTACTTCATCTTTAGAATGACTTGAAGACTCTGAGTTGGTCTCAATTAAGTTATGATCAAGCTTTTCCTGTTCCTGAACAGCATCTAACTCTACTAGATTTTTATCAAACTCCTTAGCCAATTTCATGAGTTCCTCTTCGGGATTTTTTGTCTTAGGATATCTGGATTAAAAAGAAAATACAGAAAATAAAGTTATTTTCTAATATTTCTATTTCTCAGTACTACTACTGAGAAAGCTTTGCCAAGTTCAGTTACATGACCCTATGAGCTGTTCATTCTCTGGTTTAACAGCTACAAAGGTATGATTAAATCCCACTGCTTCCAATATGCAGCCAACATCTACCCCCTCCAAGAAGACATAACGAGCCCACAGTTAAAAGCAGTCTATATGCTAATGTACAATTATATGTTTCACTATACACAGAAGACCACATAGCCTTTTTCACGAAAACCCAGTTATGATAGGTAAGAAGGAACTGTAACTTACCTTGTACAACTTAACTTGGTCCTAGCTCGCCCTTTTACTACCACAGGTGTACAGGGAATAGCATCCTCACCAATCCATGTTCCTATGAGGGACCCTTCATTACAGGCTGCTTTTTCATCCTGAATAATTAAGATTTATAATGTTCAGAAATTTGGCTTCAGACAAAGACTCGACTAGACACACATCTTACATGAGTTAAAAGTTGCTAAACTAAATAAATGCAGTATGAAACCTGTAGAAAGCCACAGATAAGGGCAAAAACAAGTTAGGTGAGATTACTGCAAAATTGTCCATTGACAGTCGTATCACTTTACTCGTATCAATTTAAAGCAGGAACTTCAATTAAAATAACTGAATTATACTTTGGCATACAAATCTAGTAGTCTGCTCCAGGTTTATACACATTCATGTTAGAAGCTGTGATCTAGTTTACTTCAGTATACTACTAAGGAGCTGTCTGAGGGGCCAGCAGCACAAACAGATTAGAGACCTTGAAATAAATTACACTCTGTATGCTTACAGAAGAAAATTCTGACTTCTTCCACTACAACTAATTTAGAAAAAGAGCCTTTAAATAGAATTAAGTGACCTTTAGAAACTAAATGGAATTGTTTCAGAGCTTCAAAGTTCAGGCTTGAATTTGAATTTTGAAATGAAAGCGATATAATACTGTGATGAATTGTTTAGAGGGACAAAGCAATAGGATGTAGCAAATTACTGCATGTAAGCCAGCAAAAATAATTTGAACTTTACTAACTACTAGGGTAGTTTTAAATAGATTCTCTTAGTCTTTGTAAATTTGAGTTTTTTTAAAATTTGTTTTTGTTTAAAAAAATAAAAACAATCAGCAGAATACATTTATGGCAGAACTGTAACTATTTAAAAGGTAGGCAGTGGCATCCCTTATCAGTGATTTTTCAATTCTTTTAGTATAGTTTCTCACAAATATGCTAAACAGTAAATATATTTTAAACAGCCATGTCAAAAAAGCAGGCATGTTCTGCAAGCTAAATACTACAAATTTTAGGAATTACACGTTTTCCTCTTGCACTTAAAATCCAACAGCACTTTTGTTTTTACTTTCTAAGCTGTGGACATCAGGTTGACAGCAAGAGGGAAAGGGCAGAGATATTGGGGTAAAGAGGAAAATTATTTAGAATATTGAAGCAAGGTTACTATGTTTATTTTATTGCAAAATATCTCTCATCTGGGTCTTGTTCTTGTAAATCAGCAATCAATCAAGACTGTTCAAAATGCTTAAAAACAAGTAAATCCAGTATGTGAAGAAACTCTTACCTTCTAACAAATGAGTAATTAAGGATAAATAAATAGTATTCCTAAGACAAAAAAGCTGGAACTTGTATTCTGAAAGCAAACCCTTCTAAACTGGAGCTGCTGCAAATTTCTTCATGTATCCTTTACTACAGCATCTGTGACTCACACAACAATCAGTCAATGCTGTACTTACCATTTTAAATTCAATGCAGTTCTATAAACCAGTTTTCTACATGCCCAACTGTTACCATGACACTACTGTAACTAAAAGCAAGGCTAAGGCTGAAGCACTATTCTCTCTGATTACTGCACATGCAAAGCATTGTTTTAGAAGGTTATGATTACCTGGGGAGCAATACGATTAACAATTTCCGAAATTTCTACTGCGCATCTACTGGTAGACTGCTTGGTTTTTCCATTGCCTATGAAAACAAACAAACTTCTTAAAAATTTTGAAATCTATTCAATTTATGAAGTACAGTACATCTCAAGTAATTCAAATAAACCTGTAAACATTGAAGCTTGATTCAATGCTATATTGAAGAACTTACAGGTTTTTAATGAAAATAAAATCAAACAACCATTATAAGTGAAAGCAACCTTTTTCCAAAAAATCTTTTATAACTTTTACTACACTCTCACTCCATGTCTCAAACGGGTGTCCTGAAGTCTGGATTTTGGCATTACCTAGTCTGTGTGCAATTGGTGAATGAGAATCCCAAAAGATTTCTTGCTGTGTCTCAGTGTCATTAACAGGAGAGCTGAAAGTAGGTATTCGGGATTTCCTACTCAATGATCTCTTTGGTGTCTTATGTAAACATGGCTCTGTGTGAAAAGAAAGAACATCTTTATTGAAAAACAACAAATAAAAGGCAAAAATCACTTAGAACACAGAACAGGTCAAGACAAAAGGAGATGCTTTAGGAACATCAAGAATAAAAATCAAGTTCACACTGACCAGGATTCCTTTACTCACAAAAGGAAAACTGTTCATAACTAGACATTAAATATAGGACAGGACTCCTAGCTTTGCCAATTACATCACCACAGAGATAACAGAACATTACATCATCCTGACACCTTCACACCCAGCACCTGATTGTAAAGATGTCAATTCTTACACTTGAGAGGAATATATTGACTTAATCTTATATTAAGAGAAGAATTATGTATACCTCTAAGAAATAATATTTTGTATTCTCACTTGCTTTGTGTCTTTCACCCAGACTCTGAGTTGAACTACTATTTTAATGGGCCTCCAAACTTCTCTGGGTCATAACCTACATTTGTCTGTATTTCCTCCCCTGGGCCTTCCCAGCTAGGACTATTAAAAGCAGGATTTAGCTATTCAAAACCTGCTTACAGCTGCCTTTGATCAGTAAGTGAACTAAACACCCTATGTGAAACTCTGCTAGTCACCCCTGCCATTCAGAAATGATGCTGCAGATGTGAAAGCCTTCAGAAATAATTTTAAAGATGCTATTACTATACAGGGAGAAATATCTTATAAGATGTTTTGCCCTGAAGTGCATAGCATGGCCAATGTTTTATCCTCTCCTTGGTTAGTTCCAGTATTTGCTATGGGAATCACAGAATGGGTAAAGTCGGAAAGGACCATAGTGACCACCTTATCCAACCTCTCTGCTGAAGCAGGGTCATCCCAGAGCACATGCTACAGGATTGTGCCCAGAAGGTTCTGGAATATCTCCAGTGAGGGAAACTCCACACCCTCTCTGGGCAACCTGTTCCAGTGCCGTCACTGCAGAGTAAAGTTCTTCCTCACGTTCAGGTGGAACTTCTGTCCATCAGTTTCTGCCTGTTTCTTGTGCTACTGCTCAGCACCACTGAGCCGAGCCTGGTCCACTCTCTTTGCACCCTCCCTTTAGATATTTATACACGATGTTGTGCCCTCTGTTTTCTCTTCTCAAGGCTAAACAGGACCAACTCCCTCACTCTTTCCTCGTAAAGACGTTCTCCAAGCCACTAACCAACTCTGCAGCTCTCTGATGGACCTGTTCCAGGAGCTCCATGCCTCTCTTGTTCTGAGCAGCCCAGAACCGGTCAGAATATTCCAGATGTGGCCTCACCAGGGCTGAACAGAGGGGCAGGCACACTTGCCTCGACCTCCTGGCAAAGCTCTCCTTATAACGCACGCCAGGGCACCATTGTCCCGCCCGGCCCCCGGGGCAGGCTGGCTCCACAAGCTCTTGACAGCAACAGCCCCTTCTCGGGGCGAGCGGAGATTTACACCGCACCAACCCCTCCTCACGGCTCGGCCGCGCCTCCCACCGCCTTCCAGAGGTAGCGGGCAGGGCCGGGGCCCCCAGGGGCCGCTCCCG